AGAGCAACAAGAGCCCCAATCCCCACACTCCCGCGGGCCCTGCAGCCCCGCCGCCCCCCCCCACCATCAGTACAGCGCGCCCCGCAGCCCCGACGCACCCCCCCACCATCAGTACAGCGCGCCCGCAGAGCCGACCGCACCCCCCACCATTAGTACAGCAAGCCCCGCAGAGCCAACGCGCCCCCCATCCTCAGTATGGCACACCCGGCAGAGCCGATGCACCCCCCCCCACCATCAGTACGAGACGCTCCGCAGAGTCAATGTGCCCCCACACCTCAGTATGGCGTGCCCCTCAGAGCCAATGTGCCCCACTACCCTCAGTATGGAGCGCCCCGCAGAGCCAACACGCCCTCCCACCCTCAGTATGGTGCGCCCCTCAGAGCAAACGCATCCCCCCTCCCCCACGCTCAGTATGGTGCGCCCCTCAGAGCTAATGTGCCCCCCACCCTCAGTATGTCACACCCTGCAGAGCCGATGTCCCCCAAATACGATGTGCCCCGCAGAGCCGACGCACCCCCCACCACCATCACTACAGCACGCCTCGCAGAGCCAATGCGCTCCCCACCCTCACTATGGAGCGCCCCGCAGAGCCGATGCACCTCCTCCCCACCCCCCACCCCACCATCAGTACGGCGCATCCCGCAGAGCCAACGTGCCCCCCAACCTCAGTATGGCGCGCCCCTCAGAGCCAGTGCACCCCCCACTCTCATTATGATGCGCCCCGAAGAGCTGACGCAATCCCCCAACTCTCATTTTGATGCGCCCCGCAAAGCTGATGCAATCCCCCCACCCTCAGTATGGTGCGTCCCACAGAGGCAACGCACTCCCCCCCGCCCCCCACAGCGCCGACGCCGCCCACATTCAATACATTGCGCCTTGCAGATGCAACATGCCCTCCCTCATTACAGTGTATCCCATACACTCAGCGTACCCCAACTTTGGTATGGCGCGCCCCACAGAACCAATGCACCTCTCTCACAGAGTGTTCCACAGACCCCACGCGCCCCCCCTCAATGCAGCGTTCCCTGAAAAGCCAACGCTCCACCCCAATACAATGCACCCTGCAGAGCCAATGTCCCACCACCCTCAGTTTGGGGCACCCTGCAGACCCAACATACCCCCCCAATATGGCATGCCCCGCAGATCCCATGTGGCCCTCCTCAGGATGGCGTACCCCGCAGAACCCATGCAGTCTCCCCTCATTACAGTACATCCCATACAGCCAACACGTTGCCTCCCTTGATAAAGCATGCCCCAGAGAGACAATGTAGCCCCCCAACCTCAGCATGGTGCGTCCCGCAGAGCCGATGCAGCCCCCGCCCATCTTCACTATGGCACATCCTGCAGAGCTACTGGACTCCCCCACCCTCAATACAGCTCACGCCAGAGAACCAACGCACCCCCCACCCTCAATATGGCACGCCCCACAGAGCTGACGCAACCCCCCCACCCTCAGTATGGCACGCCCCTCAGAGCCAACATGCCCCCCCTACCCTCAGTATGGCGCGCCCCACAGATCCAACGTGCCTCCCACCCTCCCACCTCAGTACAGTGCACCCCTCAGAGCCACGCAATCCCCCCACTCTCAGTATGGCGCGTCTCCTAGAACCAACGTAACCCCCATCCTCAGTATGGTGCGCCCCACAGAGCCAACACGCCCCCCCACACTCAGTATGGTGCGCCCCTCAGAGCCAACGCACCCCCCCACCGTCAGTATAGCGCGCCCCTCAGTGCCAACACCCCCCCCCACCCTCAATATGGTGCACCCCACAGAGCTGATGCATCCCCCACACACCCTAAGCGTAGGACACCCTGCAGAGCCTACACTCCCCCACCCTCAGTATTGCGCACCCTGCAGAGCCAATGTGCCCCCCCAAGTATGGCATGCCCAGCAGACTGACCACACCCACCCCTGAGTATGGCGCGCCCTACAGAGCTGGTGCAGCCCCCTACCCTGAGTATGGCATGTCTTGCAGAACCAATGCCCCCCGCTCAGTATGGCATGTCCTGCAGAGCAAACGCCCACCCTCTCAGTACGGAGCGCCCCGCAGAGCCAATGCTCCCCCTCAGTACAGAGCATGCCGCAGAGTCTATGCCCTCCAGTGCAGACCACCCACAGAGCCTATGCCAGCCCCCCGGTACAGAGCACCCCACAGAGCCAATGCCCCCCAGTACAGAGCGCCCTGCAGAGCCAATGTCAGCCCCCCAGTACAGATCGACCTGCAGAGTCTATGCCCCCCAGTACAGAGTGCCCCAGAGTCTATGCCAGCCCCCCAGTACAGATCGCCCCGCAGAGTCTATGCCCCCCAGTACAGAGTGCCCCAGAGTCTATGCCAGCCCCCCAGTACAGATCGCCCCGCCAGAGTCTATGCCCCCCAGTACAGAGCACCCTGCAGAGCCAATGCCAGCCCCCCAGTACAGATCACCCCGCAGAGTCTATGCCCCCCAGTACAGAGCACCCTGCAGAGCCAATGCCAGCCCCCCAGTACAGATCACCCCGCAGAGTCTATGCCCCCCAGTACAGAGTGCCCCAGAGCCTATGCCAGCCCCCTAGTACAGAGCATCCTGCAGAGCCAGTGCCACCCCCCAGTACAGAGCGCTCCGCAGAGCTGGCACCCCCCGATATGTAGTGCCCCACAGAACCAGGCAGTGCCCTCCCAGTATGCAGCGCCTCACCCACACTCTTCTCAGGGTCCCAGCCCCCCATTCCTCCCACATGTGGGTGTGTCCCTGCAGATCCCTCCCTACAGCCCTCAAGTGGGGGAGGGATGTGTGTCTCACCTTGGCGAGGGTGTGAAAAGCCTCAAACTTCGCCAGCGTCTCCTCCACGGCCAACACTGAATCCCCCACCTCCATGGGGGTGAATCCTGCCAGCACCTGCTCCCCATGGTCAGCCAGCCAGCCCACCGCCTGCCAGGACAGAAGGTGAGAGCAACAAGAATGGGCAGGGGGGCAGGCATGTGGGGGTCAGCACCACAGGCATGGTGGGGGAGAGGACATGGGAGCTGCTAGACTGCTGGACGCGGGAGTTGGGAGGGGATCTGGGGGAGGGGGAACAGAACCCCGGGCACAGGGGTGGCAGAGGGCAGGGAAGGTTTTGGTGCCAGATAGGGAGGGGCACGTGGGGCAGGCATGGGGTAGATGAGGCATGTGGGGGCAGCATGCAGCAGGTACGGGGGCTGTCAGTGCTCTGGGCGTGGGGTGGGGAGGGGAGGAAGGTGAAACACACAGCAGCACAGTCGGGGGGCAGTGAGGGGAGAAAGTCACCGGGGAGGTAATAGAGGGGTATTACCTGTGTCATCTGCCGGCGGCCCCTCTCCTGCTCCAGCTGCCCCAGGCGCCGATTGCTGAGCTGCACCAGCCTATGAATGGCATCGTCCACCTCCTGATACAAGCTGGCAGCCCTCGCGGCCTGGGCACTGGGGATGGGAAAGGACATCAGCCCCTGCCCCACATGCCGCCCCTCGTGCCATACCGTTGCCCCATGCACCGTTCCCCCAGCCCCACATGCCGCCCCTCGTGCCGTACTGCTGCCCCACACACCGCCCCACACGCTGCCCCTCGCGCCGTACTGCTGCCCCACACGCCGCCCCACATGCTGCCCCTCGCGCCATACCGCTGCCCCAGACGCCACCCCTAGCGCCATACTGCTGCCCCACACGCCACCCCCCCAACCCCAGGCGCTGCCCCCCCACTGCCAACCCCACACTTGCCCAGCCACCCCCATGCTGTCAACTCCATCTAGCCACCGCCCTGCCCCGCCAGCCCCCCACACTGTGGCCTGGGGACAGCAAATAGCATGTCACTCCCTGCCTCTCACATCACCATGCCGCCAACCTTGTCACCCGACCCCGCCCCACCCGCTCCGCCAGGCCACAAGGTATGGGGCAGCTTCCCAGGCCAGCGTGTGCATAAAGGGGGCAGAGACCACCTCTCCCAACTACAACAGGCAAACTCCGGCACAGGGGCCACCCCCCCAGCATAGGTTGCGGGGCCACCCCGCGTGTAGGCCCCGATCTCCTCCCACTGTTAGGCCTGGTGTCCCCTCCCGTCCCGTGTGGAATGTGGGACAGGTGTCACCTGCAGCTCCCTGGTGGGGGCAGTTGAGCCAGCAGGGACCCCCCGCTGCTCTGCAACTCCAGCAGCCGTGGGTCTGACAGCAGCTTCTGCATGGCATCCTTGTGCCTGGAGATCCGCACAGAGAGCACCTGTGGGCACATAACAGTGAGCAATACAACACCCTCCCTGCACAGCCAGCCTGGCCCGGCCCAAACCCTCCAGCCCAGCCAGCGCCTGGCCCAGAGCCACCTGAACAGCCGGTCCAGTCCAGAGCCCCCCGCCCAGCCAGCCCAGCCCAGAGCCCCACGAACAGCCAGTCCAGCCCAGAGCCCCTGCCCAGCCATCATGGCCCTGTCCAGAGCCCCCCCAAACAGCCCAGGCCAGAGCCCCCGAACAGCCAGCCTGGCCCAGAGGCCCCTGCTTTGATGACCAAGCCTAGAGCCCCCTACCCAGCTGGCCCAGTCCAGAGCCTCCGCAGGAAGCTCAAGGGGGCCCTGCGGGGGCAGGAGAGTCACAGGGGAGAGCCAGGGAGGCCTGGAGGGCTGCATGGGAATACAGGGTGGCAGGAGACCTGTAGGGGGAGGGGAGGACAGTTGTAGCGGAGCTGGAGAACAGGGGAGTCATGGGAAGTGCTAGGCAGAGATGGTCTCCACCTAACGAAGAGAGGGAAGAGCATCTTCGCAAGCAGGCTGGCTAACCTAGTGAGGAGGGCTTTAAACTAGGTTCACTGTGGGAAGGAGACCAAAGCCCTGAGGTAAGTGGGGAAATGGGATCCTGGGAGGAAGCGCAAGCAGGAGAGTGCAAGAGGGGATGACTCCTGCCTCATACTGAGAAAGCAGGATGATCAGCGAGTTATCTTAAGTGCCTATACACAAATGCAAGAAGCCTGGGAAACAAGCAGGGAGAACTGGAAGTCCTGGCACAGTCAAGGAATTATGATGTGATTGGAATAACAGAGACTTGGTGGGATAACTCACATGACTGGAGTACTGTCATGGATGGATATAAACTGTTCAGGAAGGACAGGCAGGGCAGAAAAGGTGAGGGCGTTGCATTGTATGTAGGAGAGCAGTATGACTGCTCAGAGCTCCAGTATGAAACTGCAGAAAAACCTGAGAGTCTCTGGATTAAGTTTAGAAGTGTGAGCAACAAGGATGATGTCATGGTGGGAGTCTGCTATAGACCACCAGACCAGGGGGATGGGGTGGACGAGGCTTTCTTCCGTCAACAAACAGAAGTTACTAGATCACAGGCCCTGGTTCTCATGGGAGACTTTAATCACCCTGATATCTGCTGGGAGAGCAAAACAGCAGTTCACAGACAATCCAGGAAGTTTTTGGAAAGTGTAGGGGACAATTTCCTGGTGCAAGTGCTGGAGGAACCAACTAGGGGCAGAGCTTTTCTTGACCTGCTAC